GAAACTTATATTAAAAGTAAATATTATTTGGTTGCAAAGCTAATACTTAGAAATTAGGAAATGCTAAGGCAGAATGATAGCTGTTGTAAATCAAATCTTTTGGGGTCTGTATTATGAGACACTGTTCTCAGGAACACATAATAGCATGATTTCTGTAGGCCTGCTGTCTCAATCAGTGCATAACTCCATGCACTGTCAACTGATAAGCAGCTATTGAATCATTTACTTTCTTTTCATTATCAAATATGTGTTTCACGGCTCATTTAGAGCACCTTGTTCCAATCCCTCTCTGAAAACAGAATTGTGTGGACTTTTTTTTTTTTTTTAATGGAACTCCCTGTAACGGTTTTGCAGTGCTCCAGTCAGATGTTTCACTTTGAAACAACCCATCTAGGTGAGAATCTGAAATTATTTTTATTTTCTGGATAGAAAAGTGAATCACAAAGACAATCATCACAAGTTATCATTAATTTGGAGTGTTCATTTTCAGAATTGTAGTGCCTGATTTTTCAGAGTAATTACCATATTAAAAATTAATTTCAGAGTAGAAAAATGGAAGCCATCCTACAGGAAGTTCTGAGTATTGGAGATTCTGTTTCTTCTACAATGGAATGTAACCTTGAAGCTTCTTTTAAAGTTAGCCTTATGACTCAGGACATTCCTGATGCTCCTGGGTACTATCAGCACATCGTGTCAGTACTGTCTTGAGAGAAGAGAAAAATCCTTTGAGCTAGTATGGGAAGCAAAAGAAAACCTCCTCAGTTAAGTGGAAGAGGACAGTCTCAAATGAGAAGAATTCTGGGGAATGGAAACCCACAAATCTGAAATTTGGCAAGGTACCCAACATTAGTTCCAGTAGCCCATAAAGAACTGCCTGGTTTCCATCTGCACTTTCAAAGCCAATGCATTACCATGCAACATGTTGATTTTAATGAATCATTATTTTTTGACAGGAAAACATGTAGTCAGAACATTTAAGTTCAGCATTTAATAGGTTCAAAGCCCAAAATCTCAGCTGCAGCCACAATACTTAGTATGTCTACAAATCACGGGTGTGGCATGCAGAAAATCCGAAAAAATAATTACCACTGTAAAAATTCAGGTGTAAATAACCAGCATGGACAGCGCCGAACCGAACCCCAGCCGCAAGCGGCAAAACAACGCGGGCACCATCTGCTCTGCGCTCCCGGGAGGCGCTCTGCAGAAGGAGGGAGGGTCATCCCAGGCACAGAGCTGTCAGAGGTGGCAAGAAGCTACCTACTGCCTTGCCATGTGGTCTGCAAGCTACCTCTTTGTACAGAGAATCAACATTTGCTCAACCAAAAGAGACAGACCAGTGTTTAATATGTTTAAGACTGAAATTCAGTTCCCTTGTTCCAAATTAGGCGCAGCAGAAATTTGACTCTGGGTGTCCTACGTCCCAAAGATGTGCTTTAATTACTGAGGTCTCAGCTCATTTGAGGGTAGAAGCTGGGTGAGGAGCGAGTTTTCTGTCTGGGATCCCAGAAATCTCCCCCGTGAAAACTGACAGATTTACTGCCACAAAAAGTTTTCCTCAAATCAATTTTTCTGCCAAAAAGAAAGTTAAATAAAAAATCCTATATTGTGCTTTTTAAAAATATAGGTCCACCATGAATAGGTCCATTCTGCAAAAATACTGAGGCAGAGGACTGGTGGAAAAATAGTCTGCAAACACCTAAGCAAAGACTGAATCACAGTGTACATCAGCTGCAGTACTAAAGACTTTGCACAGTTAACTTTTATTCTGCTATTTCCTAACATTTATATTGCACAACTTCAGTTTGTAATCCTAAAAATATTCGTTTAATGGCACCTTTGTTGACTTACAAATATAGCAAATTGCTCACACAAACTGAAAATAAAAATTTCACTATATGGTGTGCTACTGCCTCTTACCTCTGCTACGTAAGCCAACTGAGAACTCACAGTAGCAGTATGCTGTCATTTTCTTTAGGAAAACAAGTGGTTGGAGATGACACCTACCAGCAGACTACAATGGTATTTTCTGATTCCGACTCTATTGCTTCCTTAAGATACATCCCAGGCTCTGCAAGGGAAAAGGCTATAATGCTGCTTGTATTTTCTTTCTTTCACCCTTGCACTGGGTTTTCCAGACTCCTTATCCAAGCAGGTTCCCTTTTTCTGCCTCCCAGACTCTTTATCCTATCTCAGTTTTACTCCCAATCCGCTGCTACCATATTGTTTCCCTCCCTGGCTTCCTTTCTGGCTAGCTTTTGTTCTCCCATGATCCCACCCTCAGTCTGGACCCCAGAGCCTCAGGGTGCTCCTCCACCTGGTCCAGCTTTCCCAGCTCCTCCTCTGTAATTCCCTCCTTCTCCACTATGCGTTTTTACCTCCTGCCTCTTCTTCCTTAGCCCCTCCCTCTACTTCCCCAGCTGAGCATCTTTAAATTAAACATCTTCTTATTCCATGTTGCACAAGGAAGTATGGATTGAAAGCTGAAAGACGAGCACCTTCCAGCTTTTAGTTCTGTTTCGTTGCCCTGATCCAATCCGCTGCAGGCAGGTTATGCTCAGCATCATTACTGGACTTTGCCTAGCAACAGCAGAATTTTTAAGGAATTCAGATGTAAAGCTCAGCATGTTAACTGCAACTTACAGTAAGGCTTATAATAATTTGCTCAAGTTTTCTCATTATTTTCATAAAAACTCCCAGAAGTATATAATTCAAACATAATTCAGCTCACTACCAAATACTGCTAGAGTATTAGGACCATGGGAGTATCAGAGCTTTGAAAAAAGGTTTTGAGAATATTCTCATATGGGTAAAATGAATTCTTGTCCTAACTTCATTGCTAAAAATGACCTAGTTGCTCTAACTAATAGTTCCCAAGATAATTCAAAATAATTCAAAATAAACCAATTTAATTTCAGAACACTTATAAGCAATTGAATACCAGATCTGTAACAAGAAATCTCAGGTAATATTAATAACAGTCCTCAGCTATAATAAATAAATTGTCATATTTACCTACCCACATATATACATAAACACTATCATTTTTTGGATGTCTCCAATTGAGATTCTGTAGACACGGCCATTTTAAACAACTTCCTCCAAAATATACCGAGATCCAAAGAAAAGGCATTGCTATGTGAAAGACCAAAGTCTTCCTTGAGATGTAAGTGAACAATTCATAGCGAAAAATGGATGACTTTTTCCTATAAACAATTAGGCTGAATTTATTTATTTTATAGATTTTTTTTCTCCTCTAAATATTGTTGTGACAGTTGTTTTACACATATGAAAATATTTCAGCTTTGGGAACAGATGATATACTTTTTTCTGCTGCATATATTTGTACAGTTCTGTAACCTCTTGCTTGGATGTTCTGGCTGGGAAATGAATCACCATGATTCTGTTTATGTTCCATGACTGGATGACCTCCATCTTTATTATCAATTTTCAATTCTAGTCAAAATAAATAACACTTCATCTTTTCTCTAGATTATTAAACTGACTTTCGCCACAGGACTGAAATCCACATAGAAGAATATTCTTTTGTATAAAAATATACATTACTTTTTTACAGTACATTACATTCTGATACATGAAAAAGGTCAAACCAAGACCTATCTGGAAGTCATTACATTGCTTTTAAGTAAAGATTCACATTCTCCGTATAGTTGAAAGCAAGGGTTTTCAAAAGCAAGTGTTCAAGATACGGCAGTCAAATTTTTAAGATAGAGTAGAATATTCCAAGGCAGATAACTATTTTATGCAAATGTTAAATATTCAGTCACTGTACAGTTTTACTCACAAACTTTGTTGTAAACTGATAAATAAGGACCCCTTCACTAGGGTGAATGAGGCTGTTTTCCTGTTCCATAAAGTTACAAGATTTCAAAATATGTTGCTCTGTCAAGATGAAGCCAAGCTCTCACAAAGGCTTCTGAGAGAAATAAACATCCTTGGAATAACAAAGCCCTGGCTGGAGCATTCACCAATGATTTAGGGATGTTCGGGTTCAAGTCTCTCTTTCTTTTTATTTGAGAAGGACTTGAACTTGGACGTCCTGTGTCTCAGCTGAGTGCCCTAGCATGAGTCTGTGAAGACTGCTGGTGGGATTCATCCTGGCTAACTTCAGATGTCTGCACTGTGAACGACCGTGCGGTAGGGAGCTGGTGGAGTCTCAGATAAAATTCACCTCGTGCTAGAGGAAATGCTGAAATCGGTCCTCGGAAACAGTGACCATAAAGTCTTTTTCTTTTTTCTTTTTTCTGAGGAGAGTTTACAATAAGCTCCACTGTAGCTAGCTGTACTGCAGATGGTTACAATGAGTCAGATCTTTCCAACCAGTTTTCTTTTTCTTTCTGGCTAATAAATGGTTAATCACACAACTAGACAAGCTTCAGTACAAAGAGACTTAGGTAAGATGACAAATATGCAGGCCATGAATCTAGGCATATAGTTTCTTAAAAACGTCTCCCATTCTCCATCCTTTTTTTTTTTTTTTAAACAAACTTCAGCGTTAGTTTAAACTGATACTAAATTCAGAGGAAGTGTGTTTTAATAATTTTTTTCGTGTCTAAGGCAATTTAGTGCTCAAGAGAAAATTTATAAACTATAAAAAGATATCACAGGAATCTTAAAGATAATGGATGAAAACTATAATATCAAAGATAATATTCTGTCCTCCTTAAACAAATCCATACAATTTTCGATATTCTGAAACCTTCATCTCCTCAGATTTTATTTGCCTTATCAATGGCTACTTCATCCCCCTGCAGAAAACGGCAAAATACGAAAACTTAACATAAGCTAGCTAAGCCAAAATAAATGCTATATGAAGATTAACGGGTAATGATTTAAAAATGACTTCTATTGCCAGAGTTTCTGAATTACGGGAATCGTGATTTTCTCACCGCAGAGAGAAGGCTATTTTCAGGTTACAGACATGAATTGAGAGTAGCGTACTTTACAGCCAATTTGTAGATATCAGCATTGAACGTACTTACCTAAGCTTGATCTTGTGTTAGATCGCTCTATTATCGCATGCTTACTGGGGTTGTTTAATACTGAGCGTTTGGCAAGCGAGATGTCTGCTGTGACTCGTGTAATTGATATACTGCAAAAATAAAGTAAAATAAAATAGAACAGCATGTTATTTACCATGCAATGATGTGGGGAGAAAAGAGAATCAGTTAACATTAAAAGATGGCTAAGACTACATGAAAATAAGTTCTTGGTGGCAAAGTATGCTTTTCACAAAGTGAATAAAAGAGAAGATAAATGGATAAGATAGAATATAAACGAATTTATCTAACTAGCACTGGTACGCAAACTACTGATGACACCTCTCTCTTTCTGCGCCGCCCAGGGTGCGGTACGCTCCTGCCTGCAAGGCCCCGGCCGGGGCTGCCGAGGGGTGCTGCAGCGGGCGCAGCTCTCTCTCCACGGGTCCCCCGGCTGGGGGGTGATGCAAGCTGCACCAGTATCCCCTGCATCTGCTCTGTAGAGTTTGAGAGCTCAAGAATTCTCTTTTCCCTGAAAGTAGGTGCAATTTACTCCAAAAGGAATGGAGTTTCTCCTTTCCCTAGTTTTTTCCAAGGTTCTGAATGACAACACAGTTTATTTTAACTGTACTCATAACAAACATAGTGTCATGCACAGAGTTAACAGGTGAACGTAAGGCTTAACAGCCAAAGTAGTACAGCCACAGAACTCTTTTTTGGTTCCATTTACTAGCATAAGCTCTTCAACACAGTGCAAGAGCTTTGTTATATAATTGTCCAGAAAGATCCAGCAATACTCTGGCCACCTGGAAATGTGGACTATACCACAGAGAAGCAAACACAGGAGCGCAGAAAATGAAAACTCTGGGCTGAGTGTCTGGTAGGCTCAGTTTTGTTTCTAGCAGAAAAGATGAGCCAAGAAAGAAGTGGTTACTTCCAGCTGCCTGCACTGACCTGCTACATAACCTTCTGCATATTCTTCTTCCTAGGAAAGCAGTTAAGTCAGTTGGTTTTGCTTTCCAGGGTCAAACTGTACCCTTCCTCTAAGTTCCCCTTCAAACCTTCTGGCCTAATAAGGTTTAAAGGTCACATTTTGCCGGTGTTAAGAGTTAAATCAGCCTGATGATGTTCCTTGTTCTTCTTTGTACTATTTCATTTGCAATTTAAAAGGAGGAAATGGATTTGCTAACAACAAGGAAAGCTCCTCTCTAGGAAGAACAGTCAGATGCTGTTTGTCTGAAACGTAACCAAATAGCTCATCTCCCAGTGAGCTCAACATGTGCATATTTTTATCTAAAATCCTATAAAATGTAACAAAGCCAGGAGTTAATATAGAAAAACAGAATTACTTGCACAGTACAGATTAGTAACACCATTTTGAAAATTTAGGCATGGTCTAACTTAAGTTAAAAACATAACCAAACATTGTGATTTCTGGCATAGCTCCACCAAGATAATTCTATACAGTCTTAAAATGAAATCCAGCATAAAATTTGGCATACTCGTTATTTATCTTCATGTACTCACTGACAAGCACTACTAACGTTCCCTTTTTTTTCCCGCAAATTTCCTTCCTATATGCTAAAGAAAAAAAATTCCTTTTTCTTTTCCAAATGTGATTATGCAATATTGAATGAAGCTAGATTTATCATTCTAAAAATGGCATTTTTCATATTAAAATTTTTTAAAGTCTTTTAAATGTCATTTTAAGGTCTTTTAAGGCATGTAACATCAGGAAGAGCAAGTCTGCTCTCAAAAAAAAGGGTACATATGTTTGTATAACAAAACAATTGCAATCAGGGAGGGGAAGGTAGCTGGCAGCACAGATAACAGTAGCAGTGAAAGTGGTAGCATGACTGCAAGGAGTCCTGCATGCGTTTGCTGAGGACCTTAAGTACCTCCTGACCAATCTGACCTTAAGTTCAGATTGCTACTGAAGTTTATCACACTTCAAATCTGCTATTACAGACATCAATATTAATTAGTTTATTACATAGAGTATGTGTGGACTCACCCTACCGCAATTGGATCTACAGCTAAAACTTAGCTACGCCCAAAATAGAAGGCACTTGAAGACAAAGATGCGGTAACTTGTGTCTCCTTGCAACACTCACTGTTTTGTTAACTTCTAGTTCTGAAGGTACATATGTAAAACTCGACATCCCTATTCCTATAAAGAGGGACTATTAAGTGGTTAGGACTCCAATATCATTATAATTTTGACAGGAAAATCTTAAAGCTTAAACCACAGCAATCAGGATTTTAAAGACCTGAAGTGACTGATGGAGAGCATTAAGTTCTCTCTCTTGAAAATGCGAAAACACTAGGACAGATAGGACAGTGTTACTGTTGTACCCATTTCCAAATCAAAAAGCATTCATCACAGTTTCAACACAAGAACAAGACATTCTAGTTTTCTCCATTTTGTAAATTTCCAAATACCAACCGGGTAGTATTTATTAATCTAGGACCTGATCCAGTAACAATTTAAACACACATGGAGAACCGACTTGCTGTCTCTGGTCCATGAGTACCTGCTATTTAAACAACAGCATATCCTACTGCTTTTAGAGGCGGATTATTATTTGAAATGATAAGAGCTCAGAGGGTTGTAATCAGTGGCACAGAGCGTAGCTGGAGGCCTGTAGCTAGTGGTGTCCCCCAGGGGTCAGTCCTGGGTCCACTCTTGTTCAGTGCATTCATCAATGACCTGGAGGAAGGGACAGAGTGCACCCTCAGCAAGTTTGCTGATGATACTAAACTGGGGGGAGTGGCTGACACACCAGAAGACTGTGCTGCCATTCAGAGGGACCCGGACAGGCTGGAGAGCTGGGCGGAGAGGAACCTCCTGAAGCTCAACAAAGGCAAGTGCAAGGTCCCGCCCCTAGGCAGGAATAACCCCATGCACCAGTACAGGCTGGGGGTTGACCTGCTGGAAAGCAGCCCTGCAGAGAAGGACCTGGGAGTCCACCTGAGTTGGTGGACAACAAGTTAATCATGAGCCAACAATGTGCCCTTGTGGCCAGGAGGGCCAAGGGTCTCCGGGGCTGTATTAGGCAGAGTGTTGCCAGCAGGTGGAGGGAGGTGATCCTGCCCCTCTCCTCAGCCCTGGGGAGGCCTCCCCTGGAGTACTGTGTCCAGTTCTGGGCTCCCCAGTGCAAGAGAGACATGGTGCTACTGGAGAGAGTCCAGCGGAGGGCTACAAAGACGATGAGGGGACTGGAGCACCTCTCCTATGGAGAAAGGCTGCGAGAGCTGGGCCTGTTCAGCCTGGAGAAGAGAAGACTGAAAGGGGATCTCCTCAATGTGTCCAAATATCTGAAGGGAGGGTGTTGAGAGGATGGGGTCCGACTCTTCTCCGTGGTGCCCAGTGACAGGATGAGAGGCAACGGGCACACACGGCAGCACAGGAAGTTCCATCTGAACCTGAGGAAAACCTTATTTCCTGTGAGGGTGACTGAACCCCGGCACAGGTTGCCCAGGGAGGTGGTGGCGTCTCCTTCCTTGGAGATATCCAAAACTCGCCTGGACATGATCCTGTGCAATGTGCTCTAGATGACCCTGCTTGAGCAGGGGGGTTGGACTAGATCATCTCCAGAGGTCCCTTCCAACCTTGGCCATTCTGTAATTCTGTGATACAGTAATGCCTGGAGGCTCAAACACAAATCAGATTGGAACTAGGATGCTACTTATTGTGCCAGAGTATTTAAAGACATTGGGCCATATTGAGACTATCCTGTATGCTGCGGAGGACAGGCTTTAACACCACTCTGAGATCAAAAGTCACAAAGTCACAGCCTGTCCACTACCAAGGGCTACAGTACTTGAACAAGAAGGGGAAAACAAACTGAAACTCCCCAGTAGTCCTATTGTGACTTCCCGTTAGAGAGTCTAGCATTACTGATAAACCTACCTCCAATTTAGAGAGTAAGAGTGTGGTAATCATAGATGTTAGATAGTCTGAATCCCTTGTCACTCTTTCAAAGTTAGATACTGTTGTAAAGCAACTAAAGCTGAGATGGAAATACGGCTCTCATTATCTTGTAAAAAACGTATGGAATACTGACAAGATATTATTTAAACAACATTTAAACAAGAGAATCTTTTCTCCAGTTCATATTTATAAACCCGTAAAGAAATATCTAGCAATTTGGCATTTGAATGTCACAGTCAGCAACAAGAATACACATATTTTGCTAAGGACATCACAATTTCTTTAAAACCTGGTATTACCAAAATAAGAATTGAATTCAAAAAAATTTGCATTACAATGTACTTACCGCCCTTCAAATCTATGTTTTAAAAAATCAAACAACGCTTTTTGCATCATATCTGTTACCTAAAAGCAAACAAGCAACAAATTAATAATCACATAAGAATACAATAATATTTGATGCCAGTAATTTAGAAAAAAATCTAATTAAAGTTGACAGGAATCTTACATTTCTGTCATAGTATTCAGTTGTAAGTAATTTATTCTTAATCTGAATTCTGATGTCAAGTAAAACATATGTAACCACGTAAATAGTAACAGTATAAACTATTTGTATTTTTGTCTGTGATATGAACTGTTTTCCAGATTAACTACCTCTTAATATTAGAATAGAAAGGAAGCCAAAACCCTTTTTTGGCAAAATAAAAACATTCACAAGAATCGCTTACCTCATATCCCTTCAAAGAAGGCCCCACTAAAACTACTGGTCGCATAGAAGGCACTACATCATAGGGAGGGATGTGCTCTGTCTGTGAAAAAGAAAAGACTTTCAGAACCTCAGCACCCAGGGAGACTGTAACACATTACTTGCAATACAAAGAATTTTGAATTTTCAGTGATGTCACCAACAGAGTAATCATGCATTCATTAACTTCTCCTGAAAGATGGTGGTCCAAGATAAGGAAATCACAGATTCAGGGATTTCCTTTGAAAAAGCTTTTCTTTGATTTCTGCTTTCATTGCAGCTTTCATGTTCACTCTGTGGAGCTATAAAACTGTTATTCTGGAGACCATTCACACCTCCCACCCCATAATTCCAAACTGATTAATGGAAAAGGTTATTTCTAAAAGTTAATGATTTGATACGATTGACTGTGGAGCTGTGACATCTGTTTCCCATCAAATTTTACTTAGGCAAATTACAAAGGAGAAAAATAAGATAAAAAAGGATGGGAAAAGCACAACCCATCATCTCTTTTTATGTTCAGATCTGCCTACTGCTTTATAAAACATTGTGACACCACTGCAAACTCCCATGGGAGCACTCATAATCTAACTTCCACATCCACAATTCACTTGCAAATGAAACCAAAAAAATGACTGATCAAGTTAGTATTTACAGAAAAATTTCATAAACAGAACTTGGGATAGCAGTACTTCTACTTTCGGAAGCTCCTGTCACCACCCAAAGATGTATTATATTAGTATGATATTCACTAAACTACTCACTGATGTATCATGCACATTTCATGAAAAATATTTTAAAATATAAAGAGATTGGACGTTTCCAAGGATTGCCAAAATTGTTATACTGCTATTGAAATAAAAGAGTCAAACTTTTTTTCTTTAATAAACTCCTATGCCCAATATATCACCAAGAACTACTACTGTTGTCTTGTCAGAAAGAAGTTTTTGCTAGAAAAAAAGGATTTGGTTTATCTTTTTCTTAGGGAAAAATGTTTCAAATCCAGACCCAGTAACCTGGGAAAGCTATGGAAAGGAGGTATGCCAGATCTATTTTTCAAATGCCTGCATAGTACAAATACATCAGTCAAGATTACAAAATACAGTCATCGTTCATTATCTCAGTACTCAACATATCCCAAGATGTTTCACAGTAAGGAGGTTAAAATAAATACATACATTCCAAAACACAAAAACACAAAGACAAACATTAATAATACAGTGACAGCACAAAATGCTACACAAGCAGCAGTCTAAAGCAGTCTAAAACATGGAAAACATTTTTGTGAATGTTTTAAAATGTAATTTATCTTACTTTTTGTTACCTGTAGCTTCACCAGATAATTAGTACCATAAGAATGAACACCAGTGCCCAAGGCATCATAAGCATATGAAATGAATTTCTCTTACACAGTGCAGAATCTCACTCGAAACATTTCAAAGCCAAACCCTGTAATTATGCCGCGTCAGTATCTAAAGGCATCCCTTCGCTGTTGTTGCTAAGATTACTAATCCTCTGATAAATGTATTAGGACGCCTCGTAAGAAAAGTCCATTACAGGTAAGTGCTTATAGCATGAACGCCCTGATGCAACAGACCTTTGTTTTAATGTGGCAGGCTCAGCTGAAGATATTCATGCTAGAAGTTAACCAGCTATTTGAAAATTAGGGGACGCACAGAAATTACCTTATTTGATGGAATATGGGGTCCTTTTAAAACCTACTCTGTAGAAACAGATAAGACCTTTTTTTCTTAACCTTTGCAGGCTAGAACTAATGAAGCTGTCAGCAGAAAACTGACTGAAAGTTATCTAATGAAAGCATCAGAGTTCTTTAAACTTAGCATTAGAGAATCTAATCTTTTAAGTGGCTGGCACTGAGCTACAGAGCTTAACTCGAGCCAGAATAAAAAATATTTTAGTTTTGACCATATGGCTTTTGTTCAGTGGTTTGAGTATGCATGATTAGTTTGGGATGACCATCCAGTTTTTAATGCAAATATCTGTGTTACAAAAAACACAACAACTTGTAATCATTCTGACAAGGAAGACTGTAAGCACCATAGATAGAAGAGATCTATAGAATTAGCTACCATCTAGCAGCAAGATGGTTCATCTAAAGTTAAGTCTTCTAATTGGTTATGCAGATAGCATCCAATACAGATCAACATGTGTTATTCTTCCTTAGCACTTATATTTGATTATAAATACAACTAATGAAGAGATCATTCAGCATCAAGAAACTGCTACTGAACTCTATCGTGGGCTGTGAATGACATATTATTACTCAACAGAGCTTACTGAAGCAAATACTGCTGACTTTGGAAATGAGAAGGATCCAATATTATTTAAAAGAGTGTGAGAAGGGAAGAGAAGAAGAAAACATTTTATTCTACTAAACATGGGAGCATCCACAGCGCTGGCAACAGTGTCATTTGGCACTATTTATAAGCAGTGTAACCGTCTGATGTTACCTGTAGCTGTAAGTGAGCAGTTAAAAACAAATGAAGAGGAGGTATGAAAAATTCGAGGATAAAAAAAGTAAAAGTTGAAATGCGGTATTTGGCTTCGTGGTTTGGGTGCTACCTACTGTCTTGACAACATATTCCAGCAAAGATCCCAGAGATATTGCATTTTCAAGTAAAAAGGATGCCAATGGCATAATTCCGTAGTGCTCTAGGTTACCTACGGAGAGAGACTGGCTCTCCTGGGAACCACTAGTACCACTTCCAATAGCTGAGATACTAAAAAAATCTGACTGATGGAAAGGAAGGCAAGAACATTTGTCTGCTAATTTATACATGACAACAGGAGAAGCTCACAGTAAACTGCCAAAACAAGCCTGCAGTTTTCCACCGGTCTTGCTCATCTGCAGATTTTGCACCTAGTGAATTAGAAGTTTAAATACTGACTAAACTAAAAATTCAAGAGTTTTGACTATTTGTTTTGTAAGTACAATCTGAGTATCTGATTAGATTCCAATAACAATGCCAATAGACTGAATTGTAAGAAAAAAAAAAAAAAACTTGAAAAAGACAGAGATAGAAAGAATAAGCATGCACTAGAGAGGTGCATTGTATGGATTTGTTAGAAATAAATTCCTGAAACTTTCAGAAGACATTCTAAGTGTGTCCTATTATTCCATCAAAAAGGATAAGTACTGTGGCAGTATTTCACGGAGGCACTGAACTTGGGTCTGTTTGTTTTAATGTACTGGATCCACTAACAGCTTGATACGCTTCTTCCTTAACTCTAAAACAGCTGCATTGTTAATGTGGGGTGATAATGCTAATGATGCCAGGGGCAGGATAAATGCAGGTAATGTCAATATAAACTTACCGATTTCTGCTTCTGCTTAGCTACAGCAGCATGGAAAAGAAACAAAGAATAACAAAGCATGCATGTTATTGGCTTCTCAAAGGACGCAGACAGTTAACAGGACTAGAAATGTGACGCAGTGCAGGTGAGCAGGTGGACAGATGGGAGCTTGGAAGTTGGTGTTACCTTCTTAAAGAAGGGCATTCTTTTCTCTTTGGAGTGGGGTGATGTTACACTGTTTGCACTGGGTTTGGGGGAGCGATGGTTTGCTGGAATATCATTTTCTTCTGCATCTAAGCCAGTGGCATCTATGTCTATAGCTATATACAGACAAACAATTCAGAATTATCAGATGACAGGGAAAGTAAAAATAGGTTAAAAAGGAAATAAAAAGTAAAGAAAAATAAAACTGTCCAGAGCAAAAAATCAACCATGAGTACAAAACACAATAAAACAAGGGAAAAATTTAAAGGTGCAGTACATTAGGATTAGAAAACATAAGGCAATCTGTAACAGCTACTGTAACATTTTCCTCTGATCCCTTTTTACAGAATTAAATCAGACATACACAGAATTACTCTTACAAAACAGGTCAATGGCCAAGTTATTTTCTTTACACTAGTTGAAATCCAAAGCTACGTCACTGGAGTACTCAAAACTTTCACCAGTGTAGAACAACAGAATTTGGTCAATTACATACTAATTATTTTATAGCACTGAGCACTCATTAACAATCTGTATCAGCAACTGAAATTTGAAATGTCAATAGTGCGTCTTTAGGAAATTAAAAAACAAAAGAAGAATCACTTTGGGAGCCACAATCAGCCTAACACTGGTATAGTGATATCTACATTTATCTTAGGGCAGATTACAACTGGCATTTTTAGACCATTTTACCTAGAAATGCACAGAGGCATAAGATACATTTATCCGAAATAATAAAAGCAGATCTACTGACAGTGAAAACTATAAAGAATGGGCAGCGTAAAAGAGAAAATTCAGCCCAGGTATCACAGAGACCTGAATTCTGTTGTAAAGAGCGCGGGGATGCGGGCAGGGCAAAATGGAAGTGAATACAATAAAGCATTGATCTTCACCGTCTGCCCCAAAAGAAAGTCATGCACAGCACGCAAAGCTTGTACCGTAAGTATATGATATCTATCCTCTTTAGCAAGTGAATAAATAATAACAATATAAGAAAAAATCATCATGGACTTAGAGACAAACATATTTCCAAAACGCAAAGCCATGTCATCCTGAGGGTAGAGACCATCAGTTACCTGCTAACTACATCTGAAACAAAAGCTGAGACTCTTTCACAAGCGTTCTCAATTAACAGCAATCCTGATCTTAAGTACTGTATTAAATTTCTCTTCAAAGAGCATCCTAGTATGACAACAAGTACACACACAAAAGCCATCCACAACCTCGCTGTACCACACATCGCCTTAGTGTGTAAGGATGCTACCCACCCCTCAACACACACCGACAACACAGACTTATCTTGCCATGCCAACACTGAACTGACTCTAACCCTCAACAGGTCTGTAAGCAGTATGATTTGCATAGACTTTGTCTAAAACCATAATCCGTCATGACAAACTATCATGAAACCACCTGAGTGACCTGCTTTCAGCTGCTTAATGGGTGGAACATCAATGAATTCAGCAGCACGTGCTAATAAATTATGCAATGAATACATAAGTGCATCGCAAGCCTTCTACTGATGGAAAAGTGACTTGGGACACTGTTTCTTCTGCTTGAGTAATGTAAATCTTCCTATTTGAATAATCTACAGATCTAATTCTATGATCCCCTGACAACAGTCTAGTCCCACCACACTCCTTTTGAAGTTGACCTTGCCAGGAAAGCACATGAGCAGATCCACACCCTGATTCTATACTCCAGTTCCTAAAAACAGCTGCAGAAACCATGTAACGTTTTCTTCTAGCAACACAGAACAAAAAGAACATATGATCCTTTGCTGAATACAGCCTGGCACAGGTATTTTACAAATTACCCATAATAAGGTATGTTAAAGCTCCTTAGATTCTATGTTCAACTAAAATCAGCTGCAAAGAAAATGAGGACTGTTAAATTTTCCTGTAAAAAAATGCAGCATTTGATCAGCTAGACACCGTACAGTTCAACATATTATATTACTGCAGAAACTACTGCAATAACCATTTCAAACCTAGAAACACTGCAAAAGTCCCTGACTTTAAACATCAAAAAAAGAAGAGGTATTGCCTCAAAATGGATGAAATGATAGTCTGAAATCTCATGCTGACGCTCATCCAGAAAACTATCTATTTTAATGGAATAAAACTTTTTGAAATACTGTTTCGATACATTATTATTTTTAGGCAATATATTGTAAGTGGGAAAAAAAATCTTGTCGGTTTATATTTGTCATTTTGAGGGTTATTTTTTGCATTTTCTCCTGTCTCCTTTTCCATTCTCAGTCTTCTCACTACATAACATCCTCTGTAATAGCTTTTTACTGTTAACTGCTACCTATAGTTTTCCTCTCTTCCCCCAAGTCATTTTTCCCAGTCATCCTCATCCTGTTTGATGGTTCATGAGGACTGACTGGACTGATTACCATGGATTATTTAAAGGACAAAGTGTCTCCTTTCCTTTCGTTTTTCAGTGATTCTCCATCTTGTTTGGTTTTTGGTTATGCAGTACTAGATTATGTTGAAAAAAGAAACCCCAGACTCAAAAGTCAAAAAATGAAGTTAACTTACTCCAGTTCCCACCTATTCAACTTACTAAATAATTGATGTATTTGCCATTTATTATGCTTTCCCAAGGAGGAAGCCTGGGAATAGCAGAAATGTTGCAGGTCAGAATTGAACTGTGCTTAAAAGTTAAGCAAGTTCGCTTGCATACTATTAGACACAAACTACACCCCATTCACCCATTTCTCCTTCTTGATATGTTTAAAAATACATAAATAAGAAACCACTAAACCAAAATCTTAAGATCATGCAATAAGCTAAAACACACAAATCATAAATATTCTCCAAACCTTCAATGCAACTGAGTAAACTAAACCATGTTAATCTCCAGGAAACCATGCTTCTGCACACTACCATTTAAAGAAACAACTCAATGCAAGGAAAATTACAGCATCACTAGCGTATACTGATAAACAGATGTGTTCTTGCCAACCAGATACTCTTGTCTTTGTGTTACATCTAAAATTAGTCAATCAGTAACCTAACTACAATATTTATTCTCTTACCTCAAAACTCTGTGCAACATTCTGTAAAATTTCACATGTACGAGTTACTTTGCTATAAAAGTGTTTTCTGTATGCAAAGAGTATTATAGTATTACAGAAAACCACAGATGAATTCTCTAACTATAACATTGTAACATAGATCCATGAACATTTTCTACTGTGAAAATGCAGTGATTGGAAAATGGGTCTTAAGAGTAAATAAAACACTTTAAAGTCAAACAAAACATTAGATTAACAAAGATTAAACAAAAGATTGAAGTGTGCTATACAGACTTGTACTAAAACTAGACACATTAAATTAAAAATATATTTTTTAATCAAAATGGCAGGATAGGGAGTTGAAGTGGAATTTTGATACACAAACTGGAATTGTAATAAAAGTTAGTTGTGACAAACAATTCATGGTTGCACAGGAAAGACAGTTACTTTTCAGTTAATTTAATCAAATGAAGCTGCTACCATAACTTGATTTAACTCTTCTGTTTGTCTCTTAATGTTCATGTAAATAGCTTAAAATCTTTAAGATCATTTTAATACGCCTACTTTGTAGCCTAGGCCCCATATAAAGTAATATGATCGGAAAATACACATTTTTGTCTCTCTAAACAAGGCTCTGGCAATATTCACTCATATTTTCTGACTTCAGGTATTCAGAATCTGTTTTCTCTCTCAGGAAATAGCTGAATTCAGTAGATTAAAAAAAAGTATGTCAGAAGATTAGGTTTCATGCAATCAAATAGCTCATGCTAGTGTCCTATTCCAACTCACAATGTATTTGCTTTTCAGCTCTTGAATCTAACCCAATTAAAACGAAAATCTGTCTTTTGATGCTTTTTGTGAAAAAAGACTTCTGACACACAAAAAAAAATCCGGTACGCTAAAATTGTGTGAAGCACATTGTCATTATCAGAATTGTGAAACTGAAAGTTCCTGTTACTGTAAAACAATGTAGCTCTTGATGCCACTGCAGAAACCTCACAGGAATTTCTATCCTCTTATTGCTGCTCTTTCTCTTGTGCCAGAAGGCACTTCTTACTCAGCAGGAGTGCTCAGACCAAACCTCTGACTACCTTATTGCAAGACAGACTCACCCTTTTTCTACCCTTTTTCTATGACTTCCCATAAAACACCATGGTAAAAGCAAAGAGGGACTTGACTCGATGTTAACAGCCCTATGACTGTATGAACTAGCCGGCATTAATTCCATTACTTCCAACCTTACCAGACTAATATGGCAACACAACCACCCAACTTTATGCTTATGAACTACAGCAAATGAGAAAAATATGACTAACTGTAATATAAACTTAACCAATCAGGTGCATGATTCTGTAAAACGCTTGTCTAAAGGCTTGTGACCTACTCACCAGATGATGGAGGCGTCGATTTTCTGGAACTAGGAACTATGTCACCCAAACTGGATGATGAGTTTCCTCCTGATTTACTGGAGTAAAGCAACAAATTAGTTCGAATTTCTATAGCTTTCTCAATATTTATTCCAGTACATTTATTACCCGTCTTCTAAATGAGCTGCTAGCAAAGAGACAAGCAATATTTCTGGTGGCGATATAGAATATACATCTTACACCAAATATGTGTGCAATTCCTCGGTCCTCAAAAGTGTAAATATCAATTAGTTTCCTTTCTGTTCTGCTGTGCAATATTTTTCTGTTGCATACATTGTTAATATGGCTACTTATAGATAATTATTAATACTATTACTCATTAATACGACTAATTCTTAATTCAATGAACATACCTGTTTCCTTTCACTGAATAGCTATTGATAGTGTCATAGTGAAACTGCATTGCCTAACAACTTTTGAATGTAATTTAAATAAAGTACAAACTTGTTTGTTGCCTCACTACAAGGTAGCACTTACAAAAAGGAATTCTTGTCAAAAGAAAATAAAACAAACTAGGCTTTTGTCAAGTTCTGCTTTGTGAAAACCTATCAAAGTTGGGCAAAAGAAACGTTTTCAGTAATTTTATTTCAGTTACCATAACAGGAGAAGCACTGAAAATGAATGTAAAAAAGGCTATTTTCCTCTTCAAGTAATTAATATGATAATACTAGCTACCACTTTCATCATATTAAAATACTAATAATCACTGAGTAAATGCATTTGTGTAGGACTGCGTCAGCTGTATTCAGAAGAGCCACCAGAGGTGCAAGGAACCTGACTTGTCCTGCTGGGCACTGCAAACTGATGCAACAGTCATGTCACAGTGAGCGAAGGCAGCTGAGGACCGAACTAGTCTGGGTCCTGGCAGACATACCCTCCAAACACTGCTGCCTTTTCTATCTAAACAGAAAAGCTTTTCCAAGCTGTTTTCCAACATTCAAGATGTTTCCAAGCCGTTTTTTCAATTCCAGCTCCATCCTGCCCAGACATACTAGAAACAGTTATGTTCCCTATATACCCAGAGAAGAGCAAGTGGCATTTGCTTTCCTATGCGTTACTGTTTACTGGAAAGGAAAAATACTGTATGAAACGTTCCACAACAAAGGTCACATTATTACTGTCTTGCAATATTGTACAATATCTTTAGACACTGTATCTTTACATTTATGTAACGAAGGGTAGAGAGTCAACAAATGACTGAGCATGAAACTTTCATTACAAAATGTGCTCATCTTAAAAGCTGTATTCGCAGACAATGAATTTGACAGACCAAAACATTTTCCCTAGGAGCCTACAAAACAGACACTGGCTTCAGTTTATGAACAAATTCAACTTAACATGTTCTGTAAATTCTAAGATCAGCGTTAAAAGTGTTTAGCAATTACAAGGTTGTGAAAGCAAATAACAAAGGCTAAAGAAGTTAGGGAGATTGCTTTTTAACTCCAACTTTTGCTTGCACATACTACATGTACTGTCTGGAATGTGTATTTGCAAACACCTTATGAAACTTACAACAAAGAAAAGCTATGTGTAGACCACCACAGACAACCAATCTAAGTATCTGCTTCCTTCTCTCATGGCAGTGGCATTATTAATTATACAAATTATTTCCTTTATTGAAAATATTTGTAGTTGCCGATTATAATAATTAAATAGAAACACAGCATACATAGCACTGATGGCCAAGTTACATGCCACAGTCAATGCTGTGCTATTTTTAATTATTTGTTGCTGTTATTACCTGGAGTAGAATTTTCCTTGTTTTGCCTTTTGTTCATGCTGCAGCCTCATGTTTTCGAGCTTGACTGGGCTTGGTATGAATCCTATTTCACAGCCTTCTTTTACCAACCGTCCTATCCACCAGTCATTATTAAATTTCTGCAGAAAAAAAAGAAAAAAAGTCATGTACTAAGAAATTATTGCATTTTAGATCATTCTGTTATTATTTTTAATTTGAAGCTAATTCATTTTATGTAATTCCTTCCCTGCGGTTAGTCACTGTACTATATTATTATGGCAATGAAGAATCCTGGTAATTTTCACAAATACATTAAAATAATTATACCTTGCAAAATATTAAAACTCTACAGTACTTAAGCAGAAAACTCTCCCTCCTCATAGACTTCATGATTTTCCCTGGCTGTTGTTTCTGCCCATTTCACCAGCTTTATTTCCTTCTGCTTTGCAGTCTTGACTCTTCACACACAAGGGTTGATTTTATTCTCCCATGTTGTTTCTCCTTGGTGGACACGAGAGATTTCTTCTGGCCTGTTCCTATTGTCTGCAACAATTTTTACAGGTCTGTAATAACCTATTTTTCTTGTTCCATTATATTCCGTTATCTATTTAAAATAAAAATATTAACTTCGCAAGGTCCCCAGTTTCTCTCAATTCACTAATATGTTCTGAAATAAAGACTCCATTCCACTTTTTATATATGTTTTACTACATACAGGTCATGTAGTTTGTCTGATCTTTACCATATCATGATAGATCCATAGGGAAAGGCTATCTTTGGATAACTAAAAAAATACAATTATACAAATATATAAGGTATTCCAGTTAACTGAATTTCGGGCTAGACAGATATATGAGATTATGACCATAGCTCGGGTTTTTTATTGTTGTTGTTATTGTTTTGTACAGGCTGCAGAGCAGAATTGTTTGGGTTTTTTCCTCCATTATTTACTAACCAAGTTTGGCCTAGAATACAAGTTCCATGGGGACAACTACCATCAAATACAAATTATGGATAATTTGGATAATTTATTAAATTTATAATATAAATGGGGAGGGAAGTTACCTTCTTGACTTCCAAGTGATGGACAACAAAAAAATTTTAATTTAATTATTTAATTAGCAGTTTTAACAAGTGTACCGATAAGAGTAAAAAAAGTAAAATGTGCGGGCTCTCATAAAATGGAATTAATTTCACTGAGAATACACTGCCATTGCATAACTGATATGCAACCTAAAATTGCAGTATTATCTTTCATTTTGGCTACTATAGAAATGTTACAATGCTTGAAGCAAATTTTAGGCTATTTAGCTAATAAAAATAAAAATTAAAATGAACACAACTTTAAGCTCATGAAATATAATTAGCTGCATCAGATCTTTTTCATCCAGTGGGATCCTCTCTTTATGAGTGAGAACGCCAATAACTAATACAACTAATAGGAAGTTACTCTGGAAGAGTAATTTCTCAAAACTTTGTTGCACTCAAATATCTTACTAAAATCTTAACCTTTTATAGCAAATACGAACTAAAGATATTCATATACATTTAAAATATGCTGAAGGATAATATACCTGGAGGAAGATTATATTGATAGAGTCAATGGAGGCTGCCATTGCATATCTGCTCGATGTTATACGTGAAGTTTGCAAGACACTATTATTTAGATTCATAAACGGAAGAGATAGCCAATTAAAAATCATCATTAAATTAATATCTGAACAGTCATTACTTTTTTATACTGTCCTACAGTACTACAGACTATTACTCATCAAAATTAATTTTTATTTATTTGGTAGAAATGCTAAATTCAAAGGAAATTTTACTTCACACCAAAATAAAAGCATGTGGAATTCACTCCTGCAAAGCATCAAAGCTAACTGCTGTATTAGTATATAAAAATTAGGATAAGATAACTTTACTCATAAAATAATGCCATACATAATATTCCTTGATTTTCAAAAACGATAGCAGAAAACTTGGTAGCAAGATGTGTCCAGGTTCAAGATGTGTGGGATGGGAAAAGGGATTCTCTTTACAGACACCTTGGCTTGGGCTGCACTTGAAACACAAGTAGGAATTCAGTGCAAGGCAGAATTACGCCCATGCACTAAAGCCCTGAAAGATTCAGAAGTGACTATGATGCAGTTTGTGTCTCTTCATGCAGGAAGGAATCCTTCATCTTTATATGTACTGAGCTTTAATGAATCTAACCTAACGACGAAGACAAATTTCCCTCTTATTTAATCATTGCAACACCTGTCAGCATTGACCACGTACATTTCGAATTAAGTTTTTTCTTGCTTGAGCTCTCCCAGCAGCACAAATTGTCAAACTCTCCCCCCAAACAAGAAAAGGACAGTATTGATCCAATATGGCATTACCACGCAGGCAAACGTTACTGGAGCTTATACCTGGTTGTCCTCCCCCCACCCACTCATTTAAGCATAAATATAGGAGTAACGCTGAATTTTACAGCGAATTACGATTTGCTACTTTTAACCTGCCCAACAAATTTCATTTCAGAAATTTCAGTTCTCCTAGCATCAGGGAGCACCAAAAATACTGATGGAACAATATCTGGCAGATGCAATAGCCTACTCCGCCGGTTAGAGAGCCCTGGAGGGTCAGCAGGCTGATGCAGCCGAAGAAGGGGAGGATCAGGGTGCGCAGGGACAGTCACTGCCCTGGGTGCCCTGCTGAAGAGGGCAACAGCCACAGCCCCACTGCCCGTGGAGCCACGAGTCAGGCGCCTCAGGGCTCCCTTCTACGCATCCCTTCCAGCTATGCACCTTAGCGGTCGGTCCTCTTAACCTGGCACCTACTGCCCCGCTCTGGCCTGTCACTGCTAGAAATTCACCTGTGCTTTAACTGTTGGAAAATAAAACCAGATATTTTTAAAGGTAATTAAGTGCAGAGCGCCTGTCCTATTCCACCTGAAGCTGCATAAAGAAATACATTTTGATCAATTTTTTGTATTCCCTAGCACTACATAGAGAGAGGAAACATAACAATTCAGCTGAGCTAAGTTTCATATTCAAAACATTTCTGAAGATTCAAAAAGTTCAGGAAGCTTTTTCTTCCTGAGTATCTTCTGTGCATATCTACTTCTGAGACTAAGTTGAATTAAGAGGAAAAAAGCTGAAATTCTAATAGCAAATCTGTTTTTAAGGCCCACATGGAAACAGGGCGAAAACATGATATGAAGCCTGAAATTATCAGCTTATTTGAAATGGGGATGGGATAGATGACCATATAAAAGCCTTTAATCTAACCAAACCGAGCCATATTTTTCAGTGCCTTCAGATTCCCCAGAGAATGGTGACAGGCTGCTTTTGCCAGGATTCTGCGCCTGCACATCCCTATTTTTGTCACAAGACAGAGCAGAACAGTTCTTTTTCACTGTGAGACCTGAACAGTATTTTCCTCACTGCATACAGTTTGAATCCAAATTATCACCTTTTTCGTGTGTTTCATATATATTGAAGAAAAAGAAATCATTAATCACCAGTATGAAGGTACTAAAAGTCCATTTCCTGTGTTTTCTTAGTCTCTGCCCACCTGTATTTCTACCTCTAGAAAGGGAATATGTAACTACTCTACAGCAGTAGAGTTCATTAATCAGAACAACCGAGGGCTTTTCCTGCACAACAATCAAAAACTGGATAACTTAAAATGGGACAAAGATGTCATTTCAAATGTATGGTCTGTTCTAGTCCATTATGCTGACTTTATAGCTCTTTCACATTTTTGGATGGACCATTCTGTGCCAAAACTACAATGGAATACGACCAGAAGCAAGGAAAACTAAAAAGAGGCAATCATTCATAAGAGAGCAACAGGCAGCTTCGGAAGGCTTGCACGGGAAAGTCACCATGTTATTTGCTTTGGATTGTCTTCCACAGAAGAGAGAAAGAGGGAGGGTTTAGGTATTTGAAACTCTAAAACTTGGAATTTTTCCAAGGAAAACTACAGGAAAAGAAAACCAATGAAGCAAACACTGATGAGTGCCTTTTCAGACAGTTGCTATACTCATCTTTAAATCTACCACATCAACTTTTTAATGTTTAATTGTTGATAACAAAACACTGTGTGCTTCAGGGAGATAACCTCAGGGAAAAAACGAGGCCTGAGGATGTTGGGCTTTTGTGAGACTAAGTCCACGAATAGAGGGGAATGAACCACTGGCTGCTGAATCACAGTGAAACCCTGAGAGTGTTAGAATAGTGCAACCCATAGATATTATATTGTTGAATACGCAGGTGTAGATTTTTAAAGCCTCCAGTGATAATTTGACTGTATGGAAATTATGCCATTGCTTGCAATGAGAATAGTATTTCAAGGAACACACAATTCCTTATATACAGTTATCTGATTTATAGAACATTTGTATAGTGCTTTGACAATGTGAAGTGTTATCTTAATGTTAAAAAGTGGTAGCACTAGTACTCAAAGAGTAAAAAGAGTGGTGACCGTTAAAGAGAGTTTCACTTAGTCCTTTAGTTTTACTTACTTCTTTAACATGAAGAAAATCTTTAGCTTCAAATGAGATGGCCATGCCTGGGACTGGAACATCATCATCGTGAGCTGCACTGTAACCAACATTTGTCCGAACTGCAAATGCAACAGGTTTTGTCTGCAAAGAGAAAGATTAGCAGCATGAAGATTTCTCTCGCGAACACGCACACATGTACACATACACAAGGGATAATTTCTGTAAGCTATCTTTTTAAAATCATAAAAATGACAAAGAACCCTGAAAATGCATCGTCTGTTATTCTCAAAATATTTGTTGGCAGTATGAAGGTAAATTCACTTGAGGAACACAGCTGACATTTTGTTCCAAAGCAACTGAATCATCGGTAAAGCTCGAGAACACACATCATACTCATTCGGAAGGTCAAAGTCTTCAAAAGTTACCAGAAACCAACAGTATCCAGAAACTGAAGCACCTAAAATCACTAATAACAGTGGGGAAAAAAGCAAAAGTCTATGTTAAATGTATTCTGTATCAATATGTGCTGCGAAAAATCAGTATTCTAGAATCACACCAGGAACCAAAGGATATCAAAATTGTTCACATTGTTAAATTGACAAGTTCCTTCGCAAAATGCATTTCTATGCTATAAATTGGCCATGTGAAACATCAGGACGCAGTCTGTTTACTTACCTCTGTTACTTAACATTAACCCACTCATTTTATAGACAACGAGATTTTTTTCTAGCTACTACCACTCTGAAATCATTTGAGATGTGCCAAATCAGTAACTGGCAATCATAAACCAGCTGGTAATCCAGATACCATGCTCGGCTACTGCAATGGCATTGCACAGTAGACCTTCATCTGGTGATGACTTATTAGAGATTTCTAATCACAGTTCCGTACTTAGGCAGTGGTGCATCAAACTTGCACCGTGCTATTTTTAAGTACACTTGAATTTGCATGAAGTGCATTACTCTGCTTTCAAACCAGCTGCTAGGCCCCCCGCATTGACTTTCAAGGCACAGAAAGAAAACAAGGGAATCAGCTGAATAAACACCAACTGCTTTCCAGAAAAAAATTAGACTTCAAGTTAGTAATACTAGAAGTTTAACTTGCAAAGGCCTATTACAGTTTGCCAATACACAAATACAATAAAAATATATATTAATGGCAATTCAAGTATACAATTTAAGAGTAAAAGTCATGAAATTCAAACATGGATACAGCCAAATCTACGGTAATTTGGTTCCACTTCCTAAGCAGCGTAGTGCCACTCACATCAACCGTGGAAGAAAGAATTATAAGAAGAATGAGGCACTTATTTGAGGCATCTAAGTCCACAATTACATGTAAACCTTGGAACTAAGCATTTACCTAACCCCGATGCACTTAAAATTGAGCACATCCTCTTCCGCTGAGCTGAAAGTCCCTACCTGCTTGCAGTTCTGCTTCTGCACTTGCCCAGACAGAGCTACCTTGTGCTACTTAACAGCCACATGCCAGCTCCCACCTCATCTTCAGGGAAATTACAAAATCGGCAGAGGGATGCTGGTGCCCGCCAGCGTCGGCTCAGCAGGACGCCTTCCTGCAGGTGCACGGCTCATGCGCCCTGCCCTGTCAGACTGTCGGGCAGTTACCAAATACCGACCATGGGCAGCCTTGCCACTGTGCACACTTCCTGTTAAAACCTGTACCGTTATTCACTCTCAACTAATTAGAGGACTTTAAAAAATTTTATTTTCAAGAAGCAACAGCAGGAGTCAAGGGAACGCAGTGCTGGCCCTCCCCAGTGGGTCCCGCAGCCCCAGGGCCGCCCTGCCAACCTTCTCCAAGCACCACCCATGCTGAAAACCTTTCTGCCCAGGTACAGATTAAGCAGGCAGTAAAAGCCACCCAGCTCCACCCAGCCTACATCGAGAGCACAGCTTCTTCTCCTCGGTAATGCAACCGGAATGCATCAGAACAACCTTTATTCCACACCAAACAATGCTTTCAGCTTGCTCTTCTGTCAGAAGATACAAAGCACAGTACTCCTGGGACCCCCCACTCAGAAATCCTCTACTCTTCTCTTCAGATCTGGTCACTAGTCCCTCCACATTACGGCTGGTAAAATATCTTTAAAGAGGTGAACTAAGTCTAAGTCTAAGGGGCTTGTGACCATCTGAGGAGGGTATGTCATACCCGTTCAACTCAAAACCTACTAATGCCTCTACGGGACAACAATTTTAGTGTCAGTATTAACGATTTCCTGGCTGCACAAGCAACAAACAAGCAAACATACGTGGTATCTATCTTCACTGTACGGCTTGGCTGAAAGGTGTGATATTTTGCTGAGACAACAGGGGAAAAGGCATTTTCTACCTAAAGAATTGCTTCTCCAAGAGGAGCATATGAAAACGCATCCCAGCTTCCTAACAGCAAACTCAAACACCTGAAAGTAAAAATCACGCAATTCTCTGTTCAGGTTTATTCTGGCAACTTGCACAGTGAGAGAAGACAAAAATCTGCAGTTAAAATATATGATAATAATAATGAGGGAAATATATGAATAATTCTAAAGACAATATCATCCTACTTGGCCTGGAAAGAAAGGCTAGAAATAAAGGGAGAGAAGGTTTCCTGTTGCTTAATTTAGGTCTAATATACCGCAAACGTCACAGGGTTCCAACAAGGCACATTTTAAAACTGCTTAAATAGGACCTGTGAACGAACTACTATAGTCAAACAATTTATATCCAAGCGCGTATTCCAGGAAATATTTTTAATTCAAAAGGTGAAACTATTAGCATTTTCATAACAGTGTGGTCAAGAGAGTCTCTGTGTACAGAAATGATGCAAGAATGGAGTAGATTTTGGCAGGGGACTGCAGAATGGGGATCACATTTGTGTGGTATTTACGTATGCATTTGTACAAAGAGATCAGACAACCATTAAATCATAAAAAAAAGCAAAATTTGCATACAATAGAGCTTGGAAAGGGCCTTTACTCTATTCCTTCTGTTGCTAATTCTGGAATTAATGGAAAAATCTTAAGAAAAGTTGGGTAGGAAGAGCTTTAAAGACTGACCTGGTACCATTTTAATAGGTACTTATTTAAACTGGAAGGCATGTGGCAGATTTTAAAAATCAAGTATAACTGAATATATTTAAGGGTTGCAAAATCTGGCTATAATTATTCCGTTACACATTCCCCTCCTCCCCATCTTAGTGTTTAAAAGTCATAGATGACTAGCTTTGAGATTTTAAAATTAGTTAAAAAAAATAAGTTTAAAAATTTGAAAGGGTTAATATAACCCTTACATGTGTTATTTCCACAGGTTTATACTATCACAGAACCCACATACTGACAAAATTTCCAGTTAAAAACAGCTCTGCACAGCACAACTTACTGATATGCTTTTTTTCATAGAGTCTGATGCATCTGCTTGGGGACATACTCTTCCAAGGATGGCACATTAATTAACAGAAGTATACTTAGCCCTTCTCTACATATTCTTTGGCAATCCCTGAAGTCAAAATGTTCACTTTGGGATGGTATTTGGATTTCTTTCTTCCTATACACAGGAGTAACTCTTTTTCCAGCCCAAGACAACTTACAGGCATAAGAAATCACAACCTTCTACAGCAGCAACAAATTAAGAACGAAACTGGTACGTCCCCACATTTGCTGTGAGTTACAAATAGCAAACCACCTAGAGCCAGACAGAGCTGAAAATGGGAAAACGGTGCTCTCTTTCTTTCATGCTTTAGAACTTAATCATCCGTATCTAATACTTTAAGAATTCCTGTCAAGGGGATAAATCAAACAAGACATTAACACGTTTCATTTGGAAACAAATATTCAAAAAAGCACATGGAAATAATTAAAAACTCTGAGTTTTGGCATTTGTGTGCTGTAAGTTTATTGTTCAGACGTTGCACCCAACACTTCTTACTATACTAACTACTGCTTCTGTATCTTCTCAAAGCATTTCTTGCTGTATCTGGTTCTCTTCACCTATGAATTTACTTATGCATGTATCAGTCATTACTTTCTTGGTGCCCTCTTACTAACAACGTCTTGAATGCTGCGGTTGTGACCCACTGCCTGTTTTTTCCACCTGTCTCCCAGCTTTTAAAATATCCCAAGAGCTCAAAATCTTTCCTGGTATTTAGCCCCAACTAGAATATTACACATCAAATACTTGATCGCTATTTTTTTTTTTAACCAGGTCACCTATTCTAGAAAAAAATACTAACAAATATGGGTACTATGTGAAAAATAATAAGAACATAAATTCCTAGTAATTTAAAAAAACAAATGTTTTCTTTCAATATGGAAAACCCTGCTGGAGATCTTACTCAAAAGACAGAAGGAGTAATACAGAACTGGTTTACATTTGCTCTGTGCAACAGAATAAAGTCCAAACCACGAATTATATTAAAAACTACAGCAACACACACCTGAAAAGCAATTCCGATCCACATTCTTCAGCTGACAGGAGGAGTATGCAGAAGAATATGAATGACAAGAGCGAACTGGTTTAGCTGATTTTACTGCAAGTTCTTATTAGCTGCTACCCTATGTTAGAAGATGATAACCACAACAATGTAAAAACAAAACAACGGCTGGTTGTGGTGGACACCTTTCTAATATTCTGAACTCTTTCAATGCACTGCAAATGGGAGTTCAGGCACCTAATACAAACTTCCAGACTCCAGTATGAGAGAAAGGTGTGTAAAAACTAGGCACACATGCCCCTTAATAAGCCTCATCATTCACCTTATCATTAAGCAGATGAACTGTTTGAAGGACAGCAAAAATCCTAGCAACCCAGCCTAGCATTTGATACAATTCTTCAATTACTCTTTCAATTTTAATCAGCACTCTGTTACCATAAATAAAAACTAGCCAACAATTACAGAACTAGGATACAACAAAGGGGAAAAAGAAGTTACACAGGCACTGAATTCAGTGATATCAAATATATTTCTTGAAAAAAATAAAAGCTAGCATAAAGTACTGTTTTTTAGTATTCATACACAAAAACATAACTTTCCAGAATTTAAAAATTACATGCTAACAGATTTGACACCTTATATGCCTTATTATTCACTTCACTACAGAAAACGGAGGTAGCAATATGCATCAAACTGTCAAAGCTCCTGAATAA